CCAAATGAGCAATTTCAACTGCAAACCAATAAATTCATCACAGAATTTATACAGAATACAGCACGTTCCCTAACGAGCACACTACGTCTTTCAAATAATATGACCTATGGAAATATGCTGCTAACAGACTCGATTTATCGAGAAATTTGCGGAAAAAGGTAAATAGCTTTTGTTGAACGGGTGGCGAAAAATGTAAAGTAATTTTTTTTTCAAAGACATCAGAAGGATTTTTTTTGAAAATGGGAAGTGAAAAGGGAAGCATTTCCGATCATTTTCACTCAAAATCATATTGGGCGATTTTCTAGCAGAAACCGTTTCCCGTCCTTTATTACAACGCGCACTTTTTGTGCATTCAGGTCGAAAATTGCTTTCTAAATTCCTTAGTGACTTTAAATTTCTAATAGAAGATGCTGGACTTACTATCTACGTCTGTTTCTGTTGGTGTAAGGTTAACAGGGCGCTTCTTACGTCTAATGAATGCAACCAATGGTGAGATCAGAATTTTTAGAACAGTTGTGATACCACCGATGAGTCCAATAATTGTTGTTATCGTATATATGACATCTGCTTGTTTATTGTATGTGTAAACGCATTTATCAGGGTTACATTCATTGAAATAGGATTCAAATGACGTTTCATCATTCCACTGTTCAATCATTAGTTGTTCAATAATTGTTTGTACTTTTGTGGTCGGTATAATTTATACAGAATACAGCGAATTTATACAGAATACAGCACGTTCCCTAACGAGCACACTACGTCTTTCAAATAATATGACCTATGGAAATATGCTGCTAACAGACTCGATTTATCGAGAAATTTGCGGAAAAAGGTAAATAGCTTTTGTTGAACGGGTGGCGAAAAATGTAAAGTAATTTTTTTTTCAAAGACATCAGAAGGATTTTTTTTGAAAATGGGAAGTGAAAAGGGAAGCATTTCCGATCATTTTCACTCAAAATCATATTGGGCGATTTTCTAGCAGAAACCGTTTCCCGTCCTTTATTACAACGCGCACTTTTTGTGCATTCAGGTCGAAAATTGCTTTCTAAATTCCTTAGTGACTTTAAATTTCTAATAGAAGATGCTGGACTTACTATCTACGTCTGTTTCTGTTGGTGTAAGGTTAACAGGGCGCTTCTTACGTCTAATGAATGCAACCAATGGTGAGATCAGAATTTTTAGAACAGTTGTGATACCACCGATGAGTCCAATAATTGTTGTTATCGTATATATGACATCTGCTTGTTTATTGTATGTGTAAACGCATTTATCAGGGTTACATTCATTGAAATAGGATTCAAATGACGTTTCATCATTCCACTGTTCAATCATTAGTTGTTCAATAATTGTTTGTACTTTTGTGGTCGGTAGATACCGACTTGTATTTTGAGACCAAATCATCGGCGAAGCTTTAAAAGGGTTAGATGACTCTGGATAAATTAAATTATTCCATGAATTGAAGCATGTTTGATTGTAAAAACATTCAAATGTTGAAGAAAATATTGCTTCAACCATATAACAACCGACGCGAAAATTTGGTATGTTGATTAAAAGGTTTGTCGGACTTATCAACTCTGAAATGTCATAGACACCTGCTAATTGACCGCAGGTCGTAGGATCTATTTTACACGAACAATAAATGCTAGAATTTGCTGTGTCATTATAATAAAACTGTGGAATAAGTATGATATTGCCTGTAGTTGCCCGTCTCCAATTTGTTAACAGGCCAGAAAATAACTGATTACTAGTGCTTGCTCCTCTAACAACGGATAGTGTTTGTAGAAATGAATTAATTGTTCTTTGTATGAAGAGAGCAACTATTTGTTTAGTTTGTGATTGAAATAAATCTTGTTGATATACATTTTTGGTGACATATTTTGTTGAATTAAATACTGATAATTCATTTTCAATACTTTCCAGCGATAAATCGCAGAATGAAGACAGTGTTCGAAAGAATGGTGCACCAACACTACGAATATCGTTGTTAGCAATTTGGCTTACTAACGAGTGTCCTAGATACTGTATCCAGTTTGGTGTTATAAAATCTGATTGACATATTTGATGAAATGTTGGATTGAACGAAATGAAACTTTGATATTCAATTGCCAGCTTAGTACATGGACATGCTAACGTTTGCGAATATTTGATTTGTAGTAAAGCATAATCATCAAGTGTTGGTTGTTGGATCGTGGTGATGCGTGTTACAGATGCTAATAATGTGTAGAAGATGAGTATTACCAATAAAATAATCAGCGCGCAAATGAAGACACGAGTAGAAATTAGTTGATTCCTCACATCATGAGCAGTTTCTTTTTCTGGATCTTTGAACAGATTCAGTCTGGTGACTGATCCTTTAATATTTGTCGATAAGACAGAAATA